GCGATTGCACTATTTTTTTCTCGAGTCCCATGGAAAGCCATTCCCACTAACGCTTGTTAGCCTTGCGTCTGGCCATGTAGAATGAATAGAAACCGAAGGTTTAAGACACTATTCTCGCCTCACAGACCCAGGAAAGCTCCATGGGGCTCACTAAGCGTACCATACTGTCAATGGTATGATATATTTAACAGCATATATTAATAATATACTACTATTTTAATTAACCTACTAGTAACATATGGTGACCCCAATAAGACACTGGCACTACAATGGGGGACCGACATACAAAAGTGTGCTTAGGAACAACAAGGTGTGTCTTTGTTTTTTCACAAAAAAAAAGTATCAATTTCACATTAAGAATCCTTAAAAAGTCTTCTACCTCATTCCACGGAATCTCCTGAAGTGCAAAGCAGTCTCCTAAAACACCAAGCAAGTCATCTACTTCACCTTAAAATCCGTAATTCTCATAGTGAATTGCACTGGGGCTTTCAGTTCTTAGATGCATAACTTACAAGTTGGATACTGGACCAGGACTTGACTTCCAAACTATTTGCGATGTCACAGATCATGCTTGTAAAGATCCAGTGTGTAGGATTTAGTAGCATCTAGTTGAGTTACAGATCGCAACTCACTTGCTTCACCTTTACTTTCTAAGCATGTAGATGGCTCCAAAACTCGCAAATGCCTCTATCTAGAGCCAGTTTTTGGGTTGACCATTCTGGGCTACTGTAGAAACGTGGTGGTCTGTAAATAAAAAAATCTTACTCTAAGGTAACAAAAATACAATAATTTTTAGATTCAGGTGATTATACACATATGAAACATACCTATGAATATTATGTTACCTATCTGCCAATAGATGCTCTTCAGTGTTGCACACTGGATCTTTAAAATCAGATTTTCAGTGAGCACAGAGAAACGTTCCACTTTCATCAGATGTGAAAATCATTCTGCACAGTGAAGATCAGACATTACACTGTAGGAACAACATATTTCTGACTGGAGGGGACTTAATAATATACGATATAATTACAAAAAAATAACATAACATTTCAACAGATATTTGGACATAGTTAGACCCTGACTGAGTTTTTTTAATCTATTGGTGTCTGGATCATGTGACACTGTGACTTCAACTTGATGCCATATTTCAGCCACTTTTTGTTTAGCTTCCCTGACACAGAAGAATGTGACAGGTCTGTTTCCCTTTCTAGCTCTCACGGCCAAACACAGCATAGCATTCACACCACGCTTTTTGGAAAAGTCCTTCAGCTGAGCATGCAGGGAAATTGTTGTTCTCTATTTAGTCTTCTTCTTACTTGTTGTTCTTAATGTTCTCTTCCATTCTGTGCTCACTATCACCTTCAAAACTTGTGTTTTTGACAAACAGGTTGACAAACTGGTTGTGTTGTTGTAGAAAGAGCCAAATACAATTAAACTCTTAAAATGCTGGTGCTGAAGTCTTAGCTGGTGCATTACTGTAGAACAAGAAAGGCCTGCATCGGGTAACACTGTATGCTAGAAAAATAATGGACACTGCCAGCCAATCCAAGTGGAAAGCCCTGCATAACATTTTGTGAATGTTAGATGTGTACCTGGTGTCTTGGCAGAGTCCTGGTCCACCAGTGGGATGTCAGTATAAACATCTCTTCTCTTTCGGATCAATGACAACAGCGAACTTAAGGGAAAGGCACAAATGGAGATTGTTTAGGCAGCTTGTTTAGCAAGGTTTTAATCATAATTATACAATAGCCTTTTATTGTTGCATGCAAACCAGAATGTCACAATTTTAAACTTTTCTCTCACTTACCTATTATAACAGCAAAAAAAAACAAAAAAAACCGATACAGTAATAACCAGATATTTAAGCAGTCAATCAGTGCAAATTCAACATGCTGAATTGGCAATATCAGGCCAACTAAAGGCCCACAGTGCCAGACCCAGGGGGCTGTGGCTCAGAAGCAGAGCGGGT